TAACTGTTTTGCCACATCAAGTATGTCTATACATCACGATAATTCATCCTAGAGCCCGGGCTCAGCTGCTCTCGGTCAGCAAAAAATTCAAAAAAAATACTAGAAAAATTCGAATATTCCATTTTTTTGTGTGGTAGATAATTAGATGCATGAGGTCCGCTGCAAAAATCAACTCGTTTGGACATTTGAGTAGGTCTAGGCAAAAAAGACAAATTGGGTCAAAACAGTTCATCAACAGTAAACTTTTTTAGAGACCCCGGTTTTGTCTTTTTTGCACAGACTTGCTCACATGTCCAAACGAGTTGATTTTTGCAGCGAACCTCACGCATCTAATTATCTATCACACACAAAAAATGGATTTTTTTTGAATTTTTTTGTATTTGTTTTGATTTTTTCCGTGAGCAGGGGTGCTGCTGAGCCCGGGTGCAGATTCGCCGCACTCTATACATCACCACTATTGAGACACTAGGAAGGGCCTAAATAGCCATGTAAATACATCACCGGTATTGAGGTAACTTCAAGGGTCAGTCACTAGTGGTGTCTGCTATATAGCATATATGTAACTTAATGCTTACGCATGTACACAAGTGACAAATACTTGATGGTTGACCCACGTAGAACTAAAATTATATGTGACAACTTTGATATTGAGATATACTCCATTTGTCCCAAAATAAGTGTCTCAACTTTCTACTACCTCTAATATAAATTTGTACTAAGCTGAAGACATTTATTTTGAGACAGAGGGAGTAGTTTCAAAGCTCTTGTCGAGACATTGACGACATATATAATGGACTACTTAATAAAAAATGAGGGATGTGAGCAACATGTCACTGTAGGGTCGATCACCTGAGTCAGGTACCAGCAAGAAAACGTGAAGCTGCTGCCTGCCAAGAATATTGTTCCTCTTAGTTGATTTCCCGCAACCTTAGTCGTCAATTCTCTGTGGTGGTGCTCTAGGATGGGATCCCAAAGATGCAATATCTTGCCCTTGTAAAGACTAATGAGCATAGTGCCTCCAATAGAGAGCATAATGCCTACGATCTTCAGTGATCCAACTATGCTCCGGATTTGCAACGTCTCCATTCTAATGTATTTAGGCATACCACATATGTTTGTCAGAAATAAGAGAGAACCATATGTATTATTTTTTAAGATGTAGAATATTGTTATTAATTACTAGTTAGAACACTCCAGTCCATTTTGGTTTTAAACTCACATTCTTTTATCAGATACAATAGTTGATTTTGGGCACGGTAAATTAAATCCAAAATTTATTGCAAATGCATGAATAACGTAAAGAAATTTCATACCTGAAGATGAGCGAGAGGATGAAGGTTAACAACGGACTTATATTCATAAAGATGGCGGCATAAGATGGTGTTGTATCGCGGAGGCCATAGTAGTATAGGCTCATTGGCATTGTGTACCTACATATCATCACTTGAATTACTTCATCGGACCTAATGTATACACAATTGGACCTCTAATCAGCTACTCCACCCGTTCAAAAAGTTGAATACCTAGGTTTGTTCTAAGTCAAATTCTAAATTTTGACGAAGTCTATACAAAAATATGCTAAGATATACTATAACAAATATACATCGTATGAAAAGTATATATAACAAAGAATCCAATGGAACTAATTTGATGTTTTTCATAGATTTGGTCAAACCTACACAAGTTTGATTCAGGACAAATGGATAACTTAAATTAATATGAAAATGGATGGACCATGCATTAGCTTATAAGGTAATGATATTTTCGACGTAGACCCCTAAAACAAACACACTATTTATCTGAGTGAATTGCAGAAAACCATCACATTACAGCGTAGATTTGTAGAAAACACTCTTCTACAAAATTGTTGCAGAAAACACTGATTTCGGACTTAATCTTTTGCAAAAAGCATTGATCTATATGTTTGGGCGTTTTAACCTCGTTTATGACGAGTGAGGCCAGCTTTGATGACATGCGTAACTGTTGGTCCCAGACGGCGCTACACACGGTGTGATATGAATTTACCAAATAGTCCCTGGTATTACAGAGACACCCTTCTATCAGAAATAAAAAATGCAATCAGGCCCTTGCCATGCCAAGCT